ACACACACACACACACACACACACCGGGGTCGTTACAATATGCCTTCTTGCATTTGCATATAAGCAAAAAAGCATAAAAACTTTAGACCGGTCCTGGTGTTTTTTAATGTAAATGCTTGCCCTTCAGTCAAACATGTGTGTGCACGCGTCTGTCGGGTATTTCAAATCGGCATGCAAACAAGCTCCGGCGTCAAAATTTTGCCTACGAGTTTCCTGGCCAAGTGCCATTCCAGAATCGCGGAGTCAACTTTCATGCAAGTCTGAGTCCCGCATACGAGAGGGCGAAAGTTTTGGCTGGAAAATCGCTAACTCGAGAACCAGAAAATCTAGAAAGCTAAAATTGTGGAGTTATGCCCCCCGTTCACCTGGAACTCAAAGATTTCAAATTCAGCCCTCAGGTATGCGTGGTTCTCGCGTATGGCCCAATGAGCGTTCCTGGCGCGAAAATCGCTAATCTGGGAAGCCAAGGAAGCTGAAAGGCTAAAATTTTAAGGGGATGTTCCCAACCCATGTATAAATTAAATTTAACAAATTTAGCCCCCAGTATGCATGGTTCTCATGCACGATCCGTGAAAATTTTTGGCGGGAAAATGGCTATCTCGGGAACCAGGAAAGCTGGGAGGCTGGAGTTTTCAGAGAATGTTCCAGCCCATTTGCAACTTAAATTTATGAAATTTAGCCCCCGGGCATGCATGGTTGTCACGCACGACTCCGTAAAACTCTGCGGCGGGAAAATGGCTTACTCGGGAACTAGGAAAGCTGGGAAGCTGAAATTTTAACGAGGAGTTCCCTGCCCAACAAACGAATAGACAATTAACTTATTGGAGTTTAAGGGACAGTATGACACACATTGGGTTCCTGAACGATTTCATTGCAGCACGAAATATGCAAAAACTCTTTGGACGAATTTTGTCGTTGTAAACTCAGTTCATCTTCGCACACGTTTAAATTCGGCGCCTTTCGATACCTGTTGTGGCGTTTATCACTGCACTCCAAGTGGTTCCTGCGCACTTCTCAATAAATCACTTACGGTTGAGCAAATTTCGAAATTTGGAAGGGACTCGTCGGGTGTGAAATCATACACTTTGTTCCAGTTATTGTTGAATGGACTGAACGATGCCTTTAGCATATGCTCTGTAAAGGTAGCATTATTAAAATGAAACCTGTTAGAATAAGATAAGAGACTTTTGAAACCTCATTTAGATTCCAAACTGTAACGCAAATACAGCACTAAAAGGGGTCGCTCACTCCTTTATAGTCATGTTTTCTAGAATTTTGCAAGTACAATAGTTGATTTAATTAGGTTCGAAATGCAGTGAATATAAGCGTAGATGTTTGCAAAAATTATTAAAATGACTACGGCAGCAAAAAGTCCTATTATCCCACAAAAGAAGGTTTAGATACGCACTTACAGATTACTGTAAGGATGAATATTTGTCACTGATGGATTTATTGCTTTAAACAGAGTACCATAGGGACTTTTTTGACACTGAATAGTTTGGTATTCTTCTCACGGCAGAGTAGGCTTTATTAAACGAACGAATAAAGGGGTAAATTCTGAACAAAATGCAAGGTTTTCTAGATAGCATGTATTCTCAAGCTGTGAAAGTTAATGGGAAATGAACTGGAAGCTGCAAAGCAGAACAGTAAGGACTGCAGCAAATGACACGATGTAAATACGAGAAACACAATAACAAATAATCAAATGGTAAGTTTGTCCTCTCTGGTTTCAGACTTGTTTTAGACTGTTTTAGTGAACAAGAAGAATGAACATGCCAAAACACAGCTGACTGAGAGTAAGTCTTATCGGAGGAAATCGCTGGAAGTTTAAAGCATACCTTCTAGCTTTTCATAGGAAAGAGCAAGCGAGCGAAATCGCATCTGTTTACTGGACTCTATGCTTGGTCTTGTGGTGCAGAACAGGAACACATCGATATTAACGCAATCACGGCTTCGAAACTGCTGACAAACTGTGAATACTGTGCTGTTTTTACAGTCTCGGATAAACACACTGAAACACGACTTCTCAGGCACTATTACAGCCAAAATTTCCGTCACTCTTTCAGCGCCCGAATCTGTTAAAATCGCTAAAATCGTTCAGATGAGACTATGAGGCAACGAGTGCAGCGCATAGCACAATGATGTCAAACGTAAACAAGCAACTTTCCAAACTTCCACCCGATTCCGCTCATATGCCTTCACGACCTGTTATCAAAAATTATTCTGCTTTTAATCGCTCTGGTGAAATTCAGTGTTATGTTCTATGAATTAAAACAAATGGACATTTGTCACTTCACACAAGAAGCTGAAGCATCCGGAACTAACCCAAGCAAATATTACTACCGAAAAAACCAATGAAAAATGGACACTTTCAAATTTCTTTCCAAGAATCTTCGGATCGCAAAAATCTTGATTATCCCTTGGTTAACGAGTCCATCAGCTGGCCGAGTCGTTAAAGCCACAAATTCAGTGGTAAAGAAGCAATTTTTGGCTGTGGTAAAGAAGCAGGACAATTCTCTTTAGATCACCTTCCTTTGCAGGGACCGAGCACAATTAAACAATTCTCGCAGTCATCAGCATTCACTGTCGCAGTATGATCCAGCAGCAGTATGCAACATTCCTGGAACAACTAGTTTCATTATTTTCTCTGGATTGAATTTCTTCTACAGTGATTCGTGCAAATTTTTTAACAGAGTGAAGGAAAAAACCCAGGCTGGAACGCACCAGGTTCTCCGGTGCGATCATGCGTTTTTGCACTAAACTCGCAGAT